TTTGCAACCATAAAGTTTCATGTGATTTCGATAGCATTATATTATGACGTGGACAAATAAAATTTACATATTCACTTATGTTTATTAAGCATTTTTTATTTATTTATTACACAAATGCTCTAATAAGTTTAATCCATAGATTATAAAAATTAAAAGTTATAATGTTTCACATAACAAACACCAATTATTAAGTATATATATACCGGTGATAATCATTTGACAATCCATTTGTTTTTAAGAACCGTGAAATCCACGGATATCCACTAATTTAATAAAACTATTTAAAAAATAATAAATAAAGGGCAGTTTTATAATTTAATAATTACCATTAAAAGCAAACTTTTTAACTATGGAATTTCTAAATTATGTCATAATCATCTTTATAAACACGGTTACTAGTAAATCCCCTTTTTGGGATTTATTTTTTGCAATCAATTTTAAATAAAAAATCAAATTAATAGAATATTACACAATTAACATTTGTTGGTCCCAACTGGATCTACAAGAGTTTATAAGTAACAGTCTGTAGACAGGGGGATGAATACGAACACATAAACTTTCATTTTTAAAAATTATATATTGATAAACAATGATCAATACAAATTTTACAGATTGTTAGCGGAAAAGATAAGCTAAAGAAACTTATCTAAATAATCTAAAGATACACACTATTACACTTAGTAAAGAGAAAAGATTTACTGTAAGAAATAAATACTTAGAAAAGTGTTCCTCACTTGTTCAAAGTGGTTCTTTCTCTTTAGAGATAGTGTAGTGAGAGTAGTAACTTCTTGTGTAAGTTTCTTAGAGAGGAAGAGTGATAACTGAGCGGAGAACACTCAACTATTTATATACATTGCATTAAATGAAATTCAGGAGGTACACAACATGTGTCAAGCGTTTGAAGGAAAGTTTGTCTTTTGCTACAGTGAACAGTCCTTTTGGCTGTTCATGAGTAGACATCTTTTCATAGAGTTGGTGAGCACTATAGACTCAACTTAGTGGCTCCGTATAGTACTATACTTTGGAAAAGGTATGGGTTTGTCTTTAGTATATGGAAGGACAAGACAAAAACAAACGTGCAAGGTAAGGTTCATTTGAGCTGAATGATGGGACGACGCTGGAGCTCTCTTCAGCATTCGCTAAAACTTGTGCAGTCTTCACACATATGTTGACGAGCTTGTAATCACTGAACGCTGCTTCAAATCACGAACGCTCTTGTCTCTATTCTTCAGTTTTTGTCTTCGACATTGCTGAAGGTTCTTTGGTGTGAGTTTTGTCTTCTTGAATTATAACAGTCACTGGAGAGTTACAATACATGTTCAGCAATCACTGAACAGACTCAATGACGATCACATAAACTGAATAAACAGAAAGACTATACATCGATAGGTAAAAGGGATTATCATCAACTCAATGATAGAGGATCAACAATCTCCCCTTATTTGATGATGACAAAACAATATAAAGATATCCCCCCTGTGATAACCAGATCCTGGTTATCACCCAAGGTAATTAATATGTGATTATCTGATTAAATGATTACGTGATAGCATGATAAATTGATACGTTTGATCATGCTGGTATGTGAAATTAATTGTATAATGTGGTTATGTGTATCAGAATATGTATATATGTAGAAATATATATATATATATATATATATATTATTTTACACACATGCATATTAGGAAATGCATAGTGTGTGTGGATGTATGTATGTGTGCATGGTTTTGAGTATGCATGCATGTGCATTAATTGGTTATTATGAAAAGGGGCTGTTAGCCGACTTTCCAGTTTTGAAAATGTATAAAAGGAGGGCTTAGCCTCCATATTTCTTCTTCTTGCCTTTTTAAAAAGTGGTACGATTTAAAGAAGAAGAGTTGACCGGATTGCAAGTGTCTGATTTCAAGATCAAGTTGATTTCAAGTGTTTGGTTTCAAAAAGCTTGTTAAGGTGAGTGATTTCTAAAACCTTTTGCATAAAATTATTACTGGTTTTATTTGAATGTCGTTTATTTTTGGAAAGAAATCAGTTATTTTGTTTAAGTGTTTTATCCAGATAAAGGTTGATCGGATTGAGTTTAAAACCGGACAAAGCTTATCCGGACTATTTTCTAAATCGATGAAGGGTTGAGCGATTTAGCCCTAAATCGCCTAAGTGTTGAACGGTTTAGCCTTAAACCGGTTAAGTGTCGAGCGGGTCATGATTGGTATGAATAGTTATCTTTTTGAACTGAAGTATGAATACGACCAAGTGGTGGCCGGATTATTTTAAATCGGTCAAGTATTGAGCGATGTATTGTCCGGACTTGATATCCGGACAAAGATATTGATTTTGATTCTAAGTGTTAATCGATCAAGCTTTATGCGGTGTGTTGTCCGGATTGTTGACCGGAGATGAAGTCCGGCTAAATCAAGTGACCGGATTTGAAGTGATGTCTTGTGTTTTTGATAAAAAAAAATGATATTTTATCTTAAAAAGGAAGTTTTGAAATAAATGATTTTGTATTGATAATAATTTCAATGGCTGCGGTCTATTTGGAATTGTTTTGTGAAATATTTTGATGAGAAAATAAGGGTGGCATATCAAGGAGAGGTGTACCATGGGATAAGGGTGGCATATCAAGGAGATGTGTACCATAGGATAAGGGTGGCATATCAAGGAGAGGTGTACATTTGGATATAAGGGTGGCATTTGTATGTGTGATTGTATGATATAACTCTTTCTATTATATCCTTTAAAACTACCATGTTCTGGAAATCTTTATTTCTTTGTGATTTAAAGATTTAGGATCAAGGTTCTTATTGGAAATCATAGTGTGGATGTTATTGAAGAGAAAACATCAGGTTTGGCCTGAAACTTTATGTAACCTTGTTTGATTAAGAAAAGGTTTTAAAAGTGGCATTATGTGAAACCTGATTTGTTTAAGAGGTATGAGATTTGAATAAGCTGAATGCTTTGCTTGAAAAGTGAAAAGGATCTAGTATTATGTTCCTATTCGTTCATCTATTTGTTATATATATGAAATGTTGTTTTCCATAAAGATTTTAGTGATTTTTACCCTGCAATAACATAAATAGGGTATCTCACTAGACCTTTTGGTCTAACCCTCGTTTTGTGATTTTAACTATGTGTTGTAGGAGGTATGGACGGTAAGGGAAAAGGGAAAATTTAATATTTTCCTATATGCAATTCTGCTTGAAGACCTGTTTTGATGTACAGTTTTGATTGATTAGTACAAGTAATGTATTAGAATTTTTGGACCTTGTGTTTGGTCATAATAGATTCTTGTACTAAGGGACCTGAATGAGATAATATTATGTATTTCTTTTGTATGAAATATGTGTTACATGCAATGTGTGGTTTGGGGCGTTACACCCCCTCTATTTGATGATGACAAAGCAATATAAAGAGAATTGCCTAAGTTACAATAGTATGGAAAAATGACAAGTTAAGTACATGTCCCTTTCGACTATTTTGGAATCTTTTTTAGTGATTTAGTTTTTCTATATAAGTTTACTTAAGTTGTAAAGGATTACAAGTTTAAGAGAAACAAGTATAAGTTATGACAACTGAAACTGAAAGCTTATTCACTGATTGAAATTTGTCAGTGAATGTAAGTGTAAACTGGAACTCATATATACATGTCCCTATTACTCTTTTCAAGGATCCATTTCAATGATACTAGAGAAATACTCATACTATTCAATGGAAAGATACAAGTGTTACATCAGTAAGTTTTGGACCTATTACATATAAGTTGTACACTGAAAGAAGAGATAAGAAAAACAAGATTTACAAGATAGAAAGTTTTAACTATTCTAAGTCGCTGAAGTCGATATATCTAGGTACTTCTTCTCTAAGCTTCTTTCGACATAGATATTCCTTTTTGATCCTGCGGTCCATCGTCTCACCATTTAGATCATTGTCCCACCAAGATTCTTAGAACTTCGAGGTGTTATATTGGACATAAACGGAACTCAGATATTCTTTGAAAGTTGTACTCGCCATCATAGTTAATGAATATAAATCCATACTCAGTCCTGAAATGCACAGTGTTGGGTGTATAAGGACCCTTCGCTGGCAAAGAAAGATTCAGCATAGAGATATTTGGCTTCTTCGAATCCTTTAGGATTTCTTCTAAGGAGAACTTKGTTTCATGTTCGTTCCTCATAGTTGGTCCATCATTAGGATCTGAAGGTTTTCTTCTTCTTCCTGGCATCAATGCAGGCACTGAAGAAAAAACAACATACTTAGACATCTTCTTGATAAGATTGTTGAGGATATCCTTGATAATCTGCTTGTGCCTTGACTTCGGGCGCTGGATGGCTTGGCGTATTTTCATCCATTCACCATAGCCATATTGACCAAGGTAAGAAGAATATTCAGTGACCGAAGTATATATTTTGAAACTACAATAAGGACATAAGTTTTCCTTGGTTGAGTTGGTTTGCAAGACTTTTCTTCCACCCTGATCCTAAATTTGAATCATGTTAGTGCCATTTTCTTAGTTTTTAGCTTTTAATTTAAATGAACTAACCAACAAATCAATGATAATTTTATTAAAAATATGCTTATATTTGTTTTTGTTGGAGAGAAACATTGGTCGTTCATGTCTATTGAATTATCACAAATATATATGCATGGGTTTTAAGGAAACTATTTTTAGAATATTATACAATATTATAACACACCCTTGTAGTTTTAGCGGGAGGAGAACTGACGCTGAGACTAGACCGAAAATCTTTGAAAAGAAGCTTTGGAAGCCCCTTGGTGAAAATTTCTCCATACTGATAATGGGAGAGGACATGAAGAACATGGACCTCTCCGCGGACTACCTTCTCATGAACAAAATTATATCAATTCAACATGTTTCGTTAGCTAATGTTTGGCAGGATTACCAGAGAGGTAAAGTGCACTAACGTTGTCACAATAAACCAATATAGTCTTTTTGACTAGAGAATTTAACTCTAGTAACAAGTTACGGATCCAACAGGTTTCTACGACAACATTTGCAACCCCCTATATTCAGACTCAGCATTGGAACGAGAGAGGGTGGGTTGCTGTTTGGAAGGATCATGCACGTATAGGCAAATTTGTTTCACGGCGTAAGAGATATCAGGCCTTGTGAAAGTCAAGTATTGGAGAGCACCTGCAAGACTACGGTAATGAGATGGATCATTAATTGGAGGGCCATTAACTCTTAATTTAGCCTTCCTGTCAACGACAAGAGTGGTTGTTGGTTTGCAAGAGGACATGCCTGCCCGTTCAATGATTTCCTCTACGTACCTCTTCTGAGATAGAAATAAACCATTTGCATGTCGAGTGATAGCTATGCCTAGAAAATAACTTAATGCGCCTAAATCAGGCATGGTAAACTTAGAGCTCAAATGAGACATAATGGATTTGTTAAGAGCATCTAAAGAAGCTGTGAGAATTATGTCATCAGCATATATTAGTGTGTATGCCATGTTAGAACCATGTCGATAGATAAAAAGAGTGTGGGCATATTTGCTATGTAGAAAACCAATAGTAGTTATATGAGATGCAAACTATTGATACCAAGCTCGAGGGACATGTTTGAGGCCATATAAGGACCTTTTTAGGCTACAAACATAGTATGGATAAGTGGTATCCTTGAACCCTATCGGTTGATACATGTATATTGTCTCCTTAAGATTGCCATGTAGAACGACATTTTTAACGTCCAAATGATAAATGGACCATGCTTTGGACAAAGAGATACTTAGAACTGTCTGAATAGTAGCCATTTTGTAGAAAGGCATTTTTAACGTCCAACTGATTAGTGCCAACCTGCTTAGATCTGTAGTCTGCAACAAGACGTGCTTTGTGCCTTTCAAAATCACCATTAGATTTATGTTTATGTCTAACAACCTACATAGAACGAACAACATTGACATTAGGTGGATGAGGCACCAACTCCCACGTCTTATTTTTAGTTAAAGCATTAAATTCATTGGTCATAGATGTTTTCCAGTTTGGATTCTTGGCGGCAGACATAGGAGACTTGGGTAAAGTAGAAGTATTTAGGGTGCTTACAGTTATACAAAGATTCTTTTTGGTCTTGTAAATTCCATGCATGCTATGGGTGGCCATGGATCGAGTTGGAGGTGGAGGTGGAGGTGGAGGTGGGCTGGGTTGGGTTGGGCCAAGGGAACAAATTCAAATTAGGGTGATGAAGGGATAGAGGGGCTGCCAACTGGGCTGTGGTGTTTGGGATGTGAGGGAAGAATGATTTGGTTTATAGTAGGTTGAGGTTCGTTTGGTGTACGTCGTGTATATACTTGGCTAAAAAGGCAGGGAAGAGGTGTCAGTTAGTCGGAAAGTATAGGTTGGTTGGTGGGGACAACAGGTTGTGGGGGTGACTAGGCTGGTCCGTAGATTGTAGGACAGCAGGTTAAGGGGCTGCATATAGAGGAGGGGCATGGTGAAGGTGATATTTGAGATAGGGAGTCATGCCATCGTCAAGAAACTCGAAGGAAGACTTAGAGATAGGATGGAGTTTTGAGAAAGGAAATCTAGACTCATCAAATGTAACATGACGAGAAATAATTATTTTGTTTGTTGACAAGTCTAGGCATTTGTACCCATGTTGATTTAAGGGGAAACAAAGAAATAGACAAGGAACAATGTTGGTCCCAGACGGATGTACAAAAGTTTAAAGGTAACAGTTTGTAGAAGGGGGTGAATATAAACACACAAAAATTTCACTTTTAAATCCTTTATTTATAAGGGAAGATCAATAGATAACTTACATATTATTTGTGGAAGAAGACAAGATACAAAACTTATCTTAAAGAATCTAGGGAGCATACAAGATACAGAAAAGCAAGAGAGAAAAGGACTTGCTTAAGAAGATGCTATAACTTTGATTTAGAGTAGTTAAGTTGATGTTCTTCACTTGAAGTAAACGTAACTTCACAGGATCAAGAATTTGTGCTTCTTATATATGGATATAGAGAGAGGAGAGTCTCCATGGCTATTTATACCCGCTGCATTAAATGCAAGTTAGAAGGTACAAGGCACGTGGCAAGCTTCTAGAGTGAGCTTGTTCTGTATCTTCAGATATACAAGCCTTTGTTTGTCTATGAATGGCGGTCTTTCACAAAATAGGTAAGCACGTTTGGAGATGGAGTGACTCCATACATCTGTTTTACTTTAAGAGGTATGGATTTGTCATTTGTGTGCAGGAGGATAAGACAAAAACTAATATTGGATAACAAGATTTATTTGATCCCTGACACTTGAATAACTCTAGAGTTTCTTCAATGTTCGTTGATTCTTGAATAGGCTTCACACTTGATTGTAGACAAGCTTGTTATCACTGAAAACCGCATTAGATCATGAACTGATTGTCTCTATCTTCAAGTATATCTTCGACGTTGATGAACATTTTTTTGGTGTGAGTTTTGTCTTCTTGAAGAATACTTATTCATTAGAAAAGTTTACAATACATGTTCAGCAATCACTAAACAAACTCAGTGATTATTGTTGAAACTGAATAAAACAGAACTAAGTATTTTCCGCTATGTATAAAGGATTATCATAAAATCACTAAGAGAGTATGGATTAACAATATCCCCCTATTTGATGATGACAAAGCAATATAAAGAAAATTGCTTAGTTGATACAGTAAGGAAAAAGGTACATGTAAATACACGTCCCTTTTTACTGTTTTTTGGGATCTTTTTCAGTGTTAGAGTTTATTACGGAAATTCACTTATTTGTAAGGGATTACAAGGAAAGAATTTAATTACAAAACATGGATAACTCAACATTGAGAGCATATTCACTGACAAGAGTAAAATAAATAGAACTCATAAGTACATGTCTCATTTACTCTTTTAGAGATATTTTTCAGTAAATCAATCATTTTATTGAAATATCATTCAAGAAAAAATATTACAAATGATTACAATTGATTTTGGTAGGCTTAAGAAATAAAAGTTATATAGTGTAAGAAAAGATATACAAGGTTTACAAGATTGAAAGGTTCTTAATCTGGATCTTTGAAGTTGATGTAGTCATGGATATCTTCTCCTTGAATCTTTCATCCCAGTATTTCCTTTTGAATTATGTGTTCCATCATCTCTTCAAAGAGGTCTTCGTTCAGCCAAGTTCGAAGATATTCTAAGGGATCCATTGGGCAGAGATGTAACTCTGATACTCGTTGAAACTTGTATTGACCATCATAATCAATGAACATAAGTCCATATTTAGGTTTCATATGCACTGTGTTCGGAATGAAAGGTCCCTTCTCAAGCTAAGATAGATTCAACATTGAGATATTTGGCTTCTTCCTGTTCTTGAAGAGCTCATCCACTAAAAAATTTGTTTCATGCTCATTTCTGTGGGATGAACCTTCTCCGAGATCAGAAATTCTTTCTTCTTCGAGAGGATTTCTATGCAGGGGTGGAACCGCGATGATCTTTGATACTTTGTTGAAAAGTTCATTAAGAACTTCTTCAATGTAATCCTTACACTTAGATTTGATCTCTGAATTGCCTGTTGAATCTCGAGCCATTCAGAGAAGCCATACCTGCAGAGGAAGGAGGGATACTCTATAACAACATCGTCGTACTCTTGAAAGATGACCATAAAAACTTGAAGGCCACCAACTTTCATCACTATTCGCTGATTGTGACGTTTGAAATCATGTGATGGCTCATTCTTGTTTTGATCCTTTCTCTACACTAGTTCAGCTCATGATCCTTTAGTGTCAGTACTCTTTGATTTTTCTAGTTCGGTTTTTTCCAAGTGTAGGGCTTGAGCACTGATGAGATCATTTTGCATAAACATCCTTTCAGCATGAGCTTCATCAGTTAGATTCTTGGCTAACTCTAGATTGTCTTTCAGTTGTTGCTGATGTTGCTTCAGCTCTTGTTCAGCTTCCAGGGATTCTTTTCGTTCAGTTTCTTTGAACTCATCACATTCAGAGGTACGAAGAGAAATTTTTATTCGTGATAGGTGAAGTTGACTTATAGTCTGAGTCATCCTTAATTCTTCTCCAACCTCGAAGCACACAGGTTGTCTAGACGACTTCCTTGGGATGAGGTTACAGGCTTCATCTTCATCTTCATCATCCTCATGAACTTCAAAAGAGGAGGGAAGATGGTAGAGGGATTGAGAGAAATCGTTGTAAAGAGAGATAAGGGTTCTGAGCTAGGAGGTAGAGAAAAAAAAAAGATTCAGAATCAGAGGTGTAAGGCACAAACACGGTTGAAACATTTACGGCCTCAGGATAGCTGGACGCCCCAAGGAATAGGGCTAAGTTGTCTTCAGCAACGCCTTTCCTTTTGCTAGAGTAGGAGTGATGGTGAGAAGTTCTCTCCCCCTGGGAAAAAGGTTCCCTGAAAGATATTCTTTTAGCAGGCTATCTTGGGATGATTTGGATGGAGAAATCATCATCATCTTCATCATCATCATCACAACCAAAGTCAGCACCTGATCAGGGATCTCAAGATTCTAATCATCCTCGTCTTCATATTCTGCTCTATGGAGAAGAGAGCTTTTGCTTGTTGAAGGTTGAGCTCAACAACCATGTCTACCTGATGATGATCAGCAATACTGAAGGAGGCTTTAGGGATAGGCGCCGACTTTTGTAGAATCTAAAAAATCTGTCCAAGTAACTCACCATGCCTAGTAAGCCGACCCTGAACATCCTCAGCCTTGCTGGAGAGTTCAACGATGGCATTGGAGTTGTGTTGGACTACCATCATCATGGATTTTAGTTCACTCTTGACTTCAAGAACCTCAATATTGACAGTACAAAGTACTTGAGCCAAATCTTCCTTCAGGGGCATTCCTTGTTGAACCTCGTCCATTTTATCAAGGACGGTGGCAACAGAAGGGAGAAGTAGCTTGATGTCCTCAGTCATGTCATAGACGTCAGTCTCAATGACTGGAGGTTCATTCTCCATAGGACCAGTAGATAAATGAGAGCATTGAGCATGAGAAAGCTTAGGGTTAGTAATAAACAAAGAAAGGGAGGTGGTTTGGTGTATATCTGAGGGTTTCGCAGAAGTATCCGACTGATTATCGTTGAGGCCAATCTTCTTAAATACGTTGTCAAGAGGATCAACCGCATGTTGTTGAGGGGAGTCGAGAGGAGAATCCTCAAATCCTGTGATGATAGCTTCACCAATAGTGGGGACAACGACCGTTGGTTCATCATCTTATTTAATAGAGGCCAAAGAAGGAGGGGACGAGAGAATAGATGAGAAAAGAAGTAGAGAATCAACAGTAGCAATGTTGGGAATCACACATTCAATGAGTTGAGTCACTGAAGTGGTTGGGGTAGGTGCCACACATACGACAACTATAGAGGATATAGCTGAAGAGGAAGGAAGGGGTAAAGTAGATGCCCCAAAGATAAGGCAAAGTTCAATATATGAGACCCGACTCAGCTAACTGAGAGGGCTTCCCCTTTATGGCTTTCCTAACCCTCTTT